AAACATTTAAATAGCGCCATTTCCAGAAGCTCAATGGCGCTTTACAAAGTCGCTTGAATCAGAGTAGCTCCGAAGTCGTAATTCCCGACCGCTTCAGTCGATCTTAACGATTGGTTCGAACTTAATTGGTTCAGACGTCGTACTTTTCATGATCTTAATTCTTAACATTTGGTTCGGCGCATGAAAAATTCGACGTTGGCTTGTCCCATAACATAGGATATGGCTGCTGTTCTTTTCCACTGAGGGGCGGATCATTGATTTTTTCACTCATTTGTTGTGTAATGAACGACTTTTTTGTTTACTTCGAATCCAAAAGAAAAAAAGAAAAAAAAAAGAAAAAGTCGAGTCGATCATTCCCAGTCCCTTTTTATTTTCACTTTTATCTATCGTCCGTCTCCACTAGTAATGGACCAGCTACTTCTCCTGTACTTGCCCCATAGAGCTCAGTGTTGGGCCCTGTCCTTTTCACATTATGCTTCTCCTCTGGAAGATATTGTATGATGTACGCCGACGATTCTGTACCTGTTCGTTCATCTAAAATAAGTCTAAGATGTTACACCCGTGACGTGGCACACCTTCTGGTGCGACCGTTGGCTTCACCGATTGTGTAACTGTGTATAGTGCAGTTTTCGTATGACTGTGAAAAGCTCAGTGCCGTAAGCATGACGTGCCGCTACAATGATATGTTCTAAAGTGCCGTGATCTTGGCGTGACCGTGTCCGCGCCGTGTTTATGCCGTGATCCCGGTGTTTGATTGGATGGAGAGTAAATTCTCGTTCAAAGTGATTTGTCTGGCGTATCCCTTGCTGTGTCACGACCGTGTTCGTGCCGTGAACTTTTCACAGTCATACGAAAACTGTACTATGTTGTGCATGTGTTGTCTACTTATTGTTACGCATGGTTGCATTTGCACATTGAAAAGCATGCCGTCATGTGTACAACAGTTTTCCAAGACGATTAATTTTGAAATTTGGCACATTTATGTTATGTTCTTAATAATAATAATAATAACTTCCTGGTTTTATATCAAAACGAGTCTCTGTACGCATGGCTCATCCTTATATCATCCTTTCATCCATATATAGTGATCTGGCCATGGTCTTTCAATTCAAACATTCCTATGGCTTTCGCCGGTATACGTTCGTCAAGAGAATATCGTATATGGGCACGGAAACTCGCTCTTAAAGCAAATGCCATATCGCAATACGAACATTCATATGGCTTTTCATGGTATGTATTCCAAGGTGTACTTTGAGATGACACGAGTGAAAAACGTCTGCGCATGATCTAAATCTTATGCAAATTAGTCAAATCATCTGTAAATTTGGCTTTCAAACATGCCTGATAAATTGGACTTCGCAAAATGCCAAAACTTAGTGTCCATGCTTGAAACTTAAGGCTAATTCTTTCATATTGTGTTACTTATAGTACAGTATCGTGGTGTGGCAATTGTATACTCGCGAATTTTTTGTATACTTGGAGAAAACAAATATTTATTTTCTCACTCGAATCCTTAGAAAAAGTGCTGAAATGCACGCATGCGCAAACGTTTTTCTCTAGTGTCCTTTGAGATTACTTTTATCTGCAAATGCCATATCACAGTACGAGCATTCCTATGGCTTTTCATCGGTATGCGTTCGTAGATGGGCACGGAAACTCGCTCTTGCAGCAAATGCCTTGTCACAGTACGAACATTCAAATGGCTTTTCACCGGTATGTACTCGAAGGTGTACTTTGAGATTACTTTTGTCTGCAAATGCCTTGTCACAGTACGAACATCCATATGGTTTTTCACCGGTATGCGTTCGTAGATGGGTATCCAGTTTCGTTTTTATAGTAAATGCTTTATTGCAATACCAACATACATATGGCTTGACACCGGTATTTAATCGTAGATGACCATCAAAAGTACCTTTCTGTGCAAATGTCATATCACAATACGAACATTTACATGGCTCTTCAACGGTATGTGTTCTTATATGTGCACGGAAACTCGCTCTTGCAGCAAATGCCATATCGCAATGCGAACATTTAAATGGCTTTTCACCGGTATGTATTCGAAGGTGTACTCTGAGATTACTTYTGTCTGCAAATGCCTTGTCACAGTACGAACATCCATATGGCTTTTCACCGGTGTGCGTTCGTAGATGGATGTTCAGGTTTGCTTTCATAGTAAATGCTTTATTACAAAACCAACATTTATATGGCTCGTTGCCGGTATGAATTCGTAGATGACCGTTGAAAGTGACTTTCTGTGCAAATGCCATATCACAGTACGAACATTCATACGGCTTTTCAACGTTATGCGTTCTTAGATGGGTACGCCAACTCGCTCTTGCAGCAAATGCCTTGTCACAATACGAACATTCATATGGCTTTTCACCGGTATGTACTCGAAAGTGTACATTGAGATTACTTTTGTTTGTAAAAGTCTTGTTACAGTACGAACATCC